GTTCATCCAGCTCTTCAGCTTATTAACCCAGACCCTTCTGGATTGCGGGTTTTAAAGGTCAGGTTAAAAATCAGAGAAAGGACTGTGATTATTTGTAGCTAATACCCTTGACACATTGTTCATGGACAGAATTAATTTAATCAAAATGGCTACAGCTCTTAGCTGAGTGTTAGGAAGTTGCTAAACTTTCAAAGGGTTAGTTAAGCATGTCCTTTCAAAATATAACCTGACTCAAGACATGACTTTTTAAAAAATGATCAAATATTTTGTTTTGACCATCATCAAAGAACATCTGATAACTTTTGACATTTTACACTTCAGCTCAATGAAGCTGTCAGATTTAACTTCTTCAAACTCTTTCCTCACATGACAAATACATGCCTAAGCATGAGATTCACAAACACAGCAGGAGAAAGATTACACAGCAGTGTTGGTGTAGAACTCATGTTCAAGTGCTGACAGCTGAGGCAGGAACTACAACAATTTTCGTGAATGTAGGGAACGAGGGATATCGTAATGTGGAGAGCAAACGGATTACTCAAGCTGAATGGACATTTTCCATGTTTAGTCTGCATTCTGCAGCACACATACCTGCTGCTTTTTCAAAAGGATGCTGACACTTGTCAGGTCTTTGCCATGATCGTCAGACTGCAATTGAGCATCCAGATTATTGAGCCAGGTGTCCAGGTCTGCACAGCTCTGTGTGAATAGCTCAGTGCGGTTTGCATCAAAAAGACACTGAGCTTTAGTTTTGGTGGTGGATTCCAGATCATCCCAGAGCCTGTGCAGGTATTTGAGCTTCTCCTCCACAATGGGCTCAGTATCTGGTTTCTCAGATATCAACTGCTTCCCATCCTGCACAACAAGGTAGATTAATTAATAAAGAATGTCTGTTAGTCATTTTTAATGATAGAATCCCTACAGTGTGGAAGTAGGCCATTCAGCCCATCGAGTCCACACCAACCCTCCGAAGACCATCCTATCCAGACACACACGCACGCACACACATATATCACCCCATCCCAATAACCTTGCATTTTCCATGGCTAATCCATCTACCCTACACATCCTGGACATGTGGGCAATTCAGCATGGCCAATCCACGTAACCTGCACATCTTTGGACTGTGGGAGAAAACCGGAGCACCCGGAGGAAACTCGTGCAGACATGGGGAGAACATGCAAATTCCACACAGTCGCCTGAGGGTGGAATCAAACCCTGGTCGTTGGCGCTATGAGGCAGCAGTGCTGACCACTGAGCCACTGTACTGCCCTTTGATTATAGTTCAGACATGCCCAGGCAAGTGAACCTAGACCCCTTGGCTCAGAGATAGGGACACTACCATAGTGCCACAAGGCCCCAAGTCAACTGTTTGGACATGCTGTAACACTGCATCAGGGCAGAACCTGAATCCAGACCTTCTGGCCCATAGATAGGGATACGACAATAGTGCTACAAGATGCTGCTGTCAGCTAGTTCAGTAATCGGTAAACCATTATCATATTAAAACTACAATGGGTGATTAGCTTCCTACAAAAGGCAGTATGTTGGTCTGTGTCGAGTTGATGATCACAGTCAGGGATCTGCAACTGGCCTCAGTACCTCCCAGACTAGTGACAGTACCCTGCAACCTGTGACTTCTCACCAAGAAAGACAAGGGCAACAGATCCATGAGAACCTGTAAGTTTTATTCAAATACACAGAACACCCTGACTTGGAACAATACTGCCATTGCTTCACTGTCGCTGGGCCAAAATCCTGGGACTCCTTTTTTTTAAATGGCACTGTGGGTGTGCCTCTATCGCAGGGACTGCAGCAGGATTCGAATCCCCCCATGACAGATGGAGGAATTTCAATTCAACAAAACAAAATCTGAATTTAAGGGTCCAATAATGACCGTGAATCCACTGTCGATTTTCAGAAAAACCCATCTGGTTCACTAATGTCCTTTAGGGAAGGAAGTTGCCATCCTTACCTGATCTGGCCTACATGTCAGTCCAGACCCACAGCAATGTGGCTGACTCTGAACTTCCCTCTGGGCAATTAGGGATCGGCAGTAAATGTTGCCTAGCCAGCAATGCCCTCATCCCATGACTAAATAAAAAAAAAATGAAAGAAGGCACTGATGGGGATTAGGGATGGGCAACAAATATTGGCCTCGTCAGTAACAACCCACCCCATGAAAGAATTTTAAGAAAAATAGTGAAATGAAAACATCCAGACTTCTGACTCCTGAGAATTTAATCGTGTCTCCTGCTGCAACTGCATCAAGGCTTTGGATGAGATTCGGCTCAGTTATAATGCCCCTTGCCACACACTCTGAAGAGTATCACACAACTGCTCAGGGCTGTGCCCCCGGCAAACTGGGATTATACCTTGGCAAGAATCAGAATCTTCAGGAATGAGAGGGGGAAATGTTGTCAAATTGGAGATTCAAAAACAAAAGAAAAATGGCTCATTCAATCAAAAGGATGAACAAAGCTTCCAGTAATATGGATTCAAGTCTGCTAAAAACTGAATTAAATGCACTTTTCTCCTCAACAACTTAGAGCGTCCCAGTCCTTCTAATCGTATCCAGGTGGCTCCCAGAAATTTTCTATACATATTAATGGCCAGCAAGAACCACTTTAGAGAATCCTTCAGCTCACATTCACTGGGTCTGGCTGATATTACAGTTAATATTTGTGTAAGTCGGTACCATCAGCATGCCAATCTAACATGCCAACCCCAAAAACAGGTCAGCAGTATTAAGAAAATGAACATACACTTTTGCAATGTTTAAAAACTGAAAGAACTACGGATGCTGTAAATCAGGAACAAAAACAAAGTTCCTGGAAAAGCTCAGCAGGTCTCGCAGCATCTGTGAAGGTAAAAACACAGTTAAAGTTTCGAGTCCGGTAACCCGAAAGGTTTTGAGGAAGGGTCACCGGACCCGAAACATTAATTCTGTTTTTTCCTTCACAAATACTGCCAGATCTGCTGAGCTTTTCCAGCAACTTTGTTTTTGTTCCTTTTGTAATATTTTTTCTCTCTTTCTGTAGCTCTACACCATAATTCTTCTCAATAATCCAGCAGACATCAGTTTGTGTCTCAGTAGGTACGAGTGTTTAGTGCTTCTAGAGGAATCTTCTTCTTCTGTACCTTTATGCTTAAGGGTGCATTTGCCATCACTGTGACTGCACGGTTAGTCCCACCAAAGGTAGTTTCCTACATCAAATATCACACGACACCAGGTTACAGTTCAACAAGTTTATTTGAAATCATAAGCTTTTGGAACCCTGCTCCTTCGTCAGATGAACGAGCAGCACTCCGATTTCAAATAAACCTGTTGGGCTATAACCTGATGTCATGTGAATTCTGACTTTGTCCACCATAGTCCAACACCAGCACCTCCACATCATTACAATAAATGTTACCATCCACAGTATTAAGCAATGAAAATAAAGTCTAACAAGTGCAGCACCAATAAAACATATCTTTTTCCTGGGATTTCAATTTGCTTCCTGCCCTTCTCTCAAAACTCAGCCACCATGCTCACTACCTCCCTGGCCATCCCACAACTGGCTTTTAATGCCTCGCTCACAATCATGACTGTTTACCACTCCCTGTGAGCAAAGAAACAAGCTGGCAAATGGCATGGTGGCAGAGAGGGGCCGGTAGCCAGACAGCCAGGAAGGATATGTTCATCTGGTGCACAATTATGACCTCAGCACACATGTACCCACAGATGGAATAGGTGCTGACACCTGGTTACAGGCTTATAACAATGATGCCTGTTGCACCAACTTCCTATTCCAGCAAAATGCAGTATATTTTAAATGTATTTCGGGAAAATAAATGAGATATTTTCAGACAATGTTAGTTGCATGAGAAATGATTACCCTGTCTATCTTGTCCAGCCAGTCCTTATTGGAAGCGAGTTCCGCCATGAAGGCTTGGTGTTTCTGCCACTTAGTGTGAAGATTTCGAGCCTCATCGTATGACATATCTTGGGCTGTCAACATCTTTTCATTGATCCAGAGTGCAAGCTGGGCAAAACAATAAAAAAAATAATAATAGTAACAAGTCATTCAGCTCCTTGTGCCTCTTTTTCCACCACTGATTTAGATCATGGTTGATCTTTATCTCAATTCAATTTATCTGATTGTTTTACATCTCTTGAAATCTACTGTCCAACAAAAAAAATCCATTGAGCTGAGTATTCAAAGAGACAGACGGATACATTGATGGGAAGAAGCACATGTGGACTTGCAATTATGACATTTAAACAACTGCATAAACATGTCCCTGCAGCAAAAAATATGCATCTTCATATTCCTCCCACTGCTGTTCTTAATCATTTCAATTATGCAGTCAGCCATATTTTGAGCAGATGACAGTAAGCTATCCTGACAGGGAGCATGGCTGGGACCAGGAAACTGGATTCATTTGATCAACAAATGGCAGTATTGTAGGTATTCTGGAAGGTGAGATAAAATGAGCTCGGCCTATCTTGCAAATTAACTTCAGGACAGAGATGATCAGTAGAAGTCAGTGGCTATAAATAGTGTCTTTTTTTCCCTTTGCAGCTGATACACTTTAACTAAATTAATCAGGTGGATTAATTTGTTCACAGTGTCAATACAATTCTTTTGTAATGCTTTTGATCATTTGAGTATAGGAATTCGGAGGTCGTGTTGCGAATGTGCAGGACAACGGTGAGGCTGCTTCTGGAATACGGCGTTCAATTCTGGTCTCCCTGCTATAGAAAAGATGTTGTTAAACTTGAAACAGTTCAGAAAAGATTTACAAGGATGTTGCTGGGGTTGGAGGATTTGAGCTATAGGGAGGGGCCGAATAGGCTGGGGCTATTTTCCCTGGAGTATCGGAGGCTGGGGGGTGACCTTATATAAGTTCATAAAATCATGAGGGGCATGGACAGGGTGAATCGTGAAGGTCTTTTCCCCAGGGTAGAGGAGTCCAAAACTAGAGGGCATAGGTTTTAGGTGAGACAGGAAAGATTTAAAAGGGGCCTAATGGCAACCTCTTCACGCAGAGGGTGGTTCGTGTATGGAAGGAGCTGACAGAGGAAGTGGTGGAGGCTGGGACAATTACAACATTTAAAAGGCATCTGGATAGCTACATGAATAGTGGGATATGGGCCAAATGCTGGCAAATGGGACTGGATTAATTTAGGATCTCTGGTCGGCGTGGACGAGTTTGACTGAAGGGTCTGTTTCCATGCTGTACATCTTTATGACTCTATGACCCCAACCTATTCTGCCAGTGATCAAACTGTAGCCCTGTATGCTACTCTAGTATTATTTATCTGAATCCTTTAGGCACAATATTTAACTGTATTGGGTGATTTTCACAATTCAAGTGGTCCTGGTATGCATGACATTTTTATATGCCTCCGTGGCACTCATCCTGAAATCACAGACTTTGTGTCCACAGCACTAATGCTGGCTTCACTATCTTCCATTAAACCTTTCCATCTCAGACTGTCACTTTAATTGGATGCCACATACACTGCACTCTGCAGGCACCGTTCTGCATCTGCCAATTGATGCCAGACTACAGGCCTTTTATGTTCAGTGCAAACAACTACAGGCCAACATTATTTGATTAATTCTTTAGTGTGTGTGTATCTGTAGTGTGGTATTTTTAGGAGAGTGACTTTTATAGAAGACTACAACCAGAAGTACTTTTTAAATATTTATAAATGTTTCCTTTGGGGTTTCTTTTGATATTCGTTTGTTGACTTGTTCCCAGGAATCTATGAAAGCTTCTCTTTAAAGGGCCACTAGGAGATACATAAAGCAATTCTTGACATGTGTACAGAGAAGATTTGTGATCAGTCTGAACAACTGAAGCAGGCATTTTTTTTTGAGAGATTGAGAGACAGTTTCAGAGACACTCCTGAGGTGTTTGAAAATTGAGAACATAGTCCCACCTATGTTGTGTTACTCCACAGTACCATAAGTTTCTGTAAAATGCTGCAAACCCTGTTGACCTGGTTAATTTCAGTCTAGAATCACACAGGAGAGGAGGTGGTCATTTATCCAAACATCTCTGTGCTAGCTCTCCTCCTGCCCAGCCCTGTAAAGTTCCCCTTTTCAAGTATACGCCCAACTTTCTTTCGAAAATGACCAATGTTTACGAGACAGATTGAGAACATGTAAACGACTGTACCTTTTCCGTTCACTTTAAAGCATTCCCATCATGGAATGTGTAATGCAACCTCTATATGTGCTGAATACCGAGGCCTGCATACTCTAACCAAATGAAATTAAAATTACCTCCTGACAATCTTGAAGAAATTTCTGCAGCTCCAAGTTATCCTTGAGTCGGCTGGCAAGGTCGCTTGCAGCTTTGCGATTCTTTCTGTGTCTGAAAATTGTAACATTTGAAGATAAATTTAAACTTGAACCTACAGTGGTATTGACATCTCCAGACACATAGGAATCATAGTTTTCAAGCCTTAGGATTACTAGAGAAGCATAATCTAGAGCAGGCAATTTCTATTCAAAGTGATCAGAAGAAAAGTTCTACTAATTGAAGTAGGTGTGCAGCCATCCAACTCTTCAACTATATTGTCAAAAGTCTTGAATCAATTCACGTAACGGATTTTCTTTGAAAACAGTAACTTTTGTGAAGATTGAAACTGCAACTGTCAACAGCAGCAATATGCTGCAAACAGTAAACAGGAGAATGATGAGTTAAACAATTTCCTTTCTCACTGCCGGTGCTAGTTGAAAGGAATGTCGCAGTGTGAGGGAGCCCTGTTCTTCTTCATATGAGACAAGCTTGTGATTGCCCAACTGCACAGACAGCTTGGGCCTCCTTTTAATGCACTTTCACAATAAAGAAGGCAACTTTTGGCAAGGCAGCACTCCATTCCTAGGGTCTGTATGGATTGTGAACTCAGAAAGGAACGAACTGTGAGTTTCAACTTGAGGAATTGATGGACAACAATCCATTAAAAAATCTGTGTTTAACACCAGCATTTGCAAAAAGCAACAACCATTAACTATTTGCAATAATACCAATTTCAAAGTTTCTAGCTGTAGCGTCTGTTTATGTTGGGCAGAATCACTCTGTGAGAAACAGTGTTCCAGGAATTTTGATTTACTGGCCTGACAGTCATGCTCTCCCTCAGTTCTATTACAGCAGCAAATATTATAAATATTCTTTAATTGTAAGAATATCCAGTTAACAGGTTGAGAGTTTACATTTTGAAAAACTAGCAGGATATGTATCTTACACTCAGAACAGCTATAAAAACTAAAATCTTTATAAACAGCAGAGACTATAATTCAAATCTTTTTCCATGACTGCAGTACCGGCAGGTACTGGGACGCTGTGATTACTGGGAGGCTGCCAGTGGTCAAGCAGTGGACAATTCTGCACATAGGAAACAGGACAAAAACCAACCGTTCATCAATGGAGTCCACCTTCTCTTTGATTTTGTCAGAATGAACGTTCCCCTCGCTCATGAGTTTTTTTCCCGAATCCACCACGCTGTTGATCTTTTCCTCATTGGCATCCATCGTGGTCTCAATGTCCTCGTGCTTCTTGATGGCAGCCTCAGCCATCTCCAGGGTACCAGGCATCTCTGTGTGTGACAGCATGTACTCCTGAAAATAAAAAGGAAAACATTTTGTTGGGCATATCGTGGATGGAATCACCGATTCATGTTTTTCTCCGGAAGTTATGGCTGTACAAGCTTCCTGCATCTCTCCCATTATTCACCCAGTGAGATATGCTGTTCTGACCGGACATAATTTCAGCATTAGCGAGTAAACAGTAATCAGCAACAGAATCTCTGGGCCATTCGACCTATTGTGTGTTTGCTTGGTCTCTGAAATAGCTGCCTAATTAGTTTTCTGCTCTTCATCCATATCCTTGTCACTCTTTCTTCCTTTATGAGCCTACATTCAATTTCCTCTTGAAAGATACTGCTGTATCTGTCTTTTTCAGCAGTGATTTCCAAACCAGCTTTCTAAGTAAAACAATTATTTTAACTCCTTTCCTCCCAAGCTTTTCCTGTCAATAAATTTTAATCTGCATTCTCTGGTTAGTGACCCTCCTGCCAATGGACAATTTCTCCCAAATGGTCTATAAAATAAATGTTATTCCATCAATGACAAGCCCTGACCATGCGACTGTACAGTTTAGTCAATCGTAACTGTACCTGATTATTCAGGAACCCTTCTGCCTGTTTGACATCACGCAGGAAGATCTGATAGCCATACACTTGTGCCAGGAGGTCATGCCTGTTCTCCCACATCTGGCTCAGTTCATTCCATCCTGTATCGAGAGCCTGGAGCCTCTGGTGCAGGAACATATATTGAGCATCAGTTTGGTCTTGTGTCACCTCCTCCCCGACCTTTCGCATCCTCTCATAATCACTCTTGTAGTTATCAATCTCATTCTTGATATTCTCGTGCTGGGTGAGGAGCTTCTCTGCATCTGACAATGATGTGGCCATATCCTCCGAAGCAATGGCAGTCTGTGTTCGGGATAGCCATGACTGAAAATCATCCAGGTCCCTCAGGAACTCCTGCAGCTTGCTGGCTTCGCCCAGCGACTCCTCTCTTTTTTTCAAGGTGTCCTTCAGGTCCTCCCACACGCCATTGATTTCGGAAAGCCTAGCCAAGATGGCTTCTGCCTGCTCTGGATGCTCTGAGGCAAGTTTCTCTGCTTCTTTCTGCAAGTCATCCAGCTTGCCCTGAATGGCCTCCAAATCCCGCTCCATGCCAGTTAACTTGCGTTGAAGGGCCATGACACCTGCCAGATCGTTTCCAAGGCTCTGAGTAGACTCAATAACTTTGGTCTTCTCCTTAATCCATGATTTGGTCTCATTACACTCAAGGTGGTAATTCTGAATGCTGAGGGCAGAGCTAAGCGCCTCCTTCTTCTGATCTGCAAGACTGCGGAACTGATCCCAGCTGAAACAGATATTAAGGACATTAGTAAACCACATGGCATTTTCCAACAATCAACGATGGCTTCGTAGTCATCATTAGACACCTAATTCCAGATATTTATTGAATTCAAATTTCACCATTTGCCATGGCAGGATTCAAACCCAAGTCCCCAGGACATTTGGGAAAAGAAATTCCCTTGTTATATCTAGACAATTAGTAAGAAGCCTATGTACTATTGTGCTGGACTCACCTTCTGTTGAGCTGGTCTTTCATACCAGTGACCTCGTCTTTGTTACGGTGCTCGGTGCTTAATAACTGACTGGCAACCTTGTTGACTGATGCAATGCGGGAGGCTTGGTTGTTCATCTCTGGCTCAAGTGTTTCAAACCTAGTATGAAAACAAAAAGGAAAAGTAATTCAACTTAGAGTATCAGTAACTTACATTTACGTACAACTTATAGTTGTACAGCGCCTTTAATGTAGTAACATTTTCCATGTTATGTCAAGTGACTAAAAACTTGTTGAAGGCATCTTCAGGACGAGTGAAGAAGAGTGGTTTAGGGAAAGAATTCCAAGGTTTAAGGCCTAATTTAGTAATTAGCATCTTATCACGGCTTTAAGACATCATAGTCAAGCAATGAGTTTTAAAATCCAGTTGCTGTTTATGATGGGAAGCATGGCAAGGTTCAGAGACAAACTATTAGTTAATCTGTTTGCAATGGTGAGTTGACGAAGGAATACTAGTCAGTGAGAAGAGAACTCTCTGGTCTTTTTCAACGACTGGCAATCCTTTCAAGATTTCTATCAAAGCCCCTCATCTTAATCATCTCTGTCCCAGTGGAAGTGGTCCAAAGGTCTAAAACTTCCCTTGTATGTGTGCCCTCTTATGCATCATATGAAAATGATTTTTATTATTCCTTGAGTCTTAATGCTCTTTCCATAATGGAAGCTATTTCCATTGGAGCGGAAAAGAGCAGGAAGGGGGAATTTAATGTAAACTTTTATACTTATAATCTATTCAGAGCATAAAAGGCAAGACAACTGGTGTGTCAGTAATGAAAAATAACTTTAAAATATCATTAAGAAAGTGAGCTGCAAGATCGGAAGAAATGTTTTTTACTAAGAGAGTAGTCTATGATTCACTCAACTATCTTAATTAGCTTGACTACAAAATATGGACTCAATGCCTTGTGTACATGAATAAAGCTCATAGCCAGACCACATCTGCATTCAGCATTCATTAAAGCCATACCTGTGCTGAACAACTTCCAAGTCCTCAAGTTTCTCAGGGATCTCCATGGTGTTCAGCCACTGCTCTTTCTCGTCGATCCAAAGTGTACAGGCATCTGCCTCACTGAACATCTTGTAAAGTGCCAACGCATCCTGCAGGGCCTGTTTCCGCTGCTGTGCAAGGGCAACCAACTCCTCATACCTCTGCTCAATGGCAGGAAGCCTGCCATCTACCTCTGGTGACTGGGCAAAGTCAGCTGGCAGGCTTCGGGCTTGCTCATGCAAGGCATCAATGGTGGGCCTATGGTTGTGAATTTCCTCTTGTATGTCCTTGTGCTTTTTGGCTAGGGTTTGTGTGGAGTACTCGTCGTGTCCGACATCGCTGCTAGTCACAATTCGCAGGGTGTCAAGAATCCAAGCCTCGATGTCATTGGCATCAGCCTGGAATTGGTACAGATTGGAAATCTCATTCAATCTCTGCTCCCGCAGGGCTGCCAACTCCTCCAAATGTGTCCACAGCCCTCGAATGTCCTCAATTTTGTCCTTGACTTCACTGGCCCCAAAGTGCCCCTCTTCAATTAAACCCTCTCCCTCCCTTATTGTTTGCTGCAGGGGACCACTGCGGCCACTCATCTCATCCTTGAAAGAATTATGCTTGCTGATCAGCATCATGACGCTGGTCAGATCCTTGCCATAATCTTCTGAAGACATGATTTGCTCTTTCTCCCGGATCCAGGATTCCTCTTCGCCCATCTCCCAGAAGAACTTCCAAAGGCGCCTCGACTCTTCAAGCTTTGCACGACGCTCTGCTGCAAGTTTGCACAACTCCTGATAGCAAAGATCCAAGTGTGTGACACGGTCTTGGACGATTTGAGGGTCGCATGGCTTGTAACCTAGCAGGGAGATAAATGCTATTTAGGAACAGAAATGTGAATGACCCTTTTTCGACCTATCAGCTACCCATCTACAGCTTCTTCAAAACACAAATAGTTACAGTGCAGCTGCAACTGGTAAAGACTAGAACATGAAAAAAGTGCAGGCCTTCCAGTACCTCATGCTTGCTCCAACAGTCAATTAGATCACGACTGATCTAATTGTGGCTTTAATCCCATTTTTATGTCTCATAACCCTCAACTTCCTTGTAGATGAAAAACTATTTCACTCAGCCTTGAACATGTTCAATGACCAGCTTCCAGTGCTCTCTCAAGTAGAAAATTCCGAAATTAACCCCCTCCGAGAGATGCATTTCTCCTTACTTGTATTTAAGTGGGAGTCCTGTTGTTTTGAAACTCTGCTCCCTACTTCTAGACTAATCCACAAGTGGAAATATTTCTCAGCATCTACCTTGTCAACCCTCCTCAGAACTTTGTTTCAATAAGAACACCTCTCATTATTCTGAACTCTAATGGGTAAGGTCCAACCTACACACCCTTTCCTCATAAGGCAACTCTTGCATCCCAGGAATGAACCTGGTGAACCTTTCACTGAAATAATTCCAATGTAAGTATATTCCTCCTTAAAAAGGAAGACCAAACCTCTAGGTACAGTCTCAACAACACTCTGTAGAGTTCTAGCATGTTATCTTAGCAAAGTAGCTTTGAACAGCGTCATCTGCTTTCACTTCATGTCAGTAAGGCAAGTGATTATTTCAGTGTACCACACTGTGACAAATAATTCACGTCTTAACACTTATCATGTGAAGCTCTGTCTCCTTTCTGTGTACTTAATGTTCCGAGATTGTGAAAATGCCAGCTTCTAACTGGTTTAATGGTGCAATGACGAAATCATCCACTCTCACCCTCAACTAAATCTCAGGTGGGCACACACCAACAATAAGAGAATCCTGGTTGACAACTGATATCACTAAGTCGCTGTTCACTCTTCTGTTCTATGAGACTCTCTCCTGTTTCACATACCAATAAGATGATATGCAGCCATGGGCCAGAACTTGCTCCAGACAACTTACAAATTTGAGAATATTTGGGCAGGAGGTTCTCCCCTTTTGACAGCTCTGGTAAAGGAAATGGCACTGGAACCAGATACAGTGAAACATGTCAATATTCTCATTACAGCCATAACTCTTCACAGTCTTTACCAGCCTTGTTCTGAATAGGTACTCCTATTCAGGATGTTATTTTGATCACTGAAACTACAGTCAAAACTGTGGAAGCTGAGCCACTGAAAAATCGAAGACTGAAACAGACAGATTCTTGAACTACAGGGGAGTCAAGGGTTACAGAAACAAGACAGCAAAGTCATGTCGAGGTTAAGCTTCAATCAGACATGTCCTTATTTGAATGGCAGAACAAACTCCAGGGAACACATTGCCTAGTCTAGCTCTTATTTCATATATCATTTATGACAGTGAAGTCTATTGCCATCACAACTGCCTAGTAAAAACAGATAGACAGGTGCACAAGGGAGGATGTTTCCCATTCATACACATATAGTGGCACCTGTTTTGAATGTAAATGCAACTTGCAGTTTTGGCTATTAGGTTACAGCGAATAATCTCATAAACAGGTGTCCTAACCACAAAAAAGTGGGCGACATTGTAGGTACTTTAGACTGTGGCCCCACTTTTTCAATAATATAACACTGATCCAGCTGCAATGCTGTTACTAAGATAGTATTGCTCCATAACATTATGTTAATAATTCGAGTCCTTAGCAATGTCTTGTTTAAGATTCATGCTCAGCACTGCTAATTTACAGAGTGACAGAATTCAGGCCTGCAGCAGCAAATACCTGCTCTGCTATTTTAATAGTGTCATTTTGGGCTGCTGCTAGATTAAGGCTCCCCACAGGATTAGAAATCAAATTTGAAGTGTTCTATTAAATTGTTCTACTTTAACATCGTCTTTGCACTTGCTGTAGGATAGCACTGCCACCTCATAGCACATCCTGGCCTTCTTTATCAGGAGAGCAAATAAAATAGAATCCCAGTTCGATCCCTCAGTGGAACAGGTTATATATCTATAGAGAGCAAAACAGGTCACATTATAAGCAGAACGGCACTCCCTTGCAGGAGTGTGAAATGCTGTGCATGTTTAGGCCATACCTTCCTCACTGGTAATGAATTTCTGAGCACCCGTATAAACCGTTTTAACTCGTTCTGCCTGGACTGCAATATCTGCCTCCACCAATGTGTGAGTCTGAAGCAGATCCTCGACGCCATGCAGGTGTTTGCCGTAATCTTGCGATTGCAGGCGGCTCTGAAAGAAACAAACATTCAGATGCAAGACTCAATATCATGGTTGCGAGATGCATAACCATGACCAGCCTGTAGCGGTGCCATTTCCGATCCAATTACGAGAAACAGCAATATAACATTAGAGGTACCAACACGGACCAATGTAGGAATAGTCATAAGGTCTCCAAATATTTTATAAAATCACACCTTTTATATTTCAAAACTCAATGTTACTAATATCAGTTAGGAAGTAGTACAGATTGGAAGAACTCATGAGTTGGATAAACCTAATTTATAGCACTGTTACTACCAGATACAGCTGTAGCTACAAGTACACCACCCAGTGTTACTCAACTGACATAGTTTTCATAAACAGACTACTTCTCAAAAGGGAGAATCAAAAATGCAACATTCAACCAAATACAGAATTCAATTTGTATGGCCCGTTCAGGGCAAATATAGATATGGGGTGCAAATTTAATCTCCACTGTCCGAGGGAATTGCCCGCCCTTTAGCAAACATTTCTGATTTTCACTCCATTCCCTTCAACACAATCAAATAGGGGCAGCGCATTCTACAGATTACAGCACAGGTGAAGCCGCAAACTACACCCAGAGGATGCAGCAGCACAGGCCAGTTGTCATTTTTCTCTGTAGGTGGAGCTGACTGCAGATTGCGAAGTACATATTTTTTGAAATTGATTCAAACTGTGCTGTCAGGGCCATTGGAAAGGCCAGCATTTATTGACCTCAGGATGGTAATACCGAGCCCACCTTCTGGAACACAATTGAGTAGCTTGTCAGCCACAGGGTGCAGTTAAGAATCAGCCATGATGCTGTGGACTTGGAGTCACATATGCTGCAGACCAGGTGTGTATAGCAGATTACCTTCCCTTAAGGACATTAGTGAACTGTTGTTATTTTTTTTAACTCACAATCCAGTAGTTTCACAGTCATCGTTACTTAGATTAGCTTTTTATTCCTGATTTATTTAATTGAGTTTAAATTCCTCAGCTGCAGTGGGGGGGATTAGAATGCGTGTATCCAGTGATCTGTCTGGTAACATAAGCACGGTGTTTACAGACACCCACGTTACTGGGTTTTAGAAGTTACTCCTTGTGGTTTTAAGATCTTCATTTCAAAATTCTTCCACTGTCTAACCTTGACCAATCCAAGTCATTTCTAGCTGACTACTCCAGACAATGTTTTATGCTAGTGGATCACTGCTGTCTACCTGCTTTCTCCTCCCCATCACTTCTTTCAGTCCTTGTATCCCAACTCATTGGACTCTAACCTGGTTAATTCCATTGCCTGAGATAACAAGGTGTAGAGCTGGATGAACGCAGCAGGCCAAGCAGCATCAGAGGAGCAGGAAGGCTGACGTTTCGGGCCTAGACCCTTCTTCAGAAATTCTGAAGACGGGTGTAGGCCCAAAGCGTCAGCCTTCCTGCTCCTCTGATGCTGCTTGGCCTGCTGTGTTCATCTAGCTCTACACCTTGTTATCGCAGATTCTCCAGCATCTGCAGTTCCTACTATCTCTATTTCCATTGCCTACTTTGTCCTTCCTACAAAGGCCGCTTTGATTGAGCTGGTGGTATACACTCTAAGTTCCCCTCAAGTCTGGAGGTGCCCTCTCAAAATTCTTCCCACCATACTGTAAAACGAGTGCTGATCTTTTACGTGCAATAATGCACACGAGCTGCACAACATGCAAACAACCTTCATGTCTTCCATCCAATCCACGATATGCAGCATTTCCTGGAACATCTTCTGCAGTTCGAGGTTCCTCATGAGACGTTCACGGCGTGCGTGCAGCAGCTCCCGAAGGTAGTCCCACAGGCGGATAACGTTGTCCTTCCTGACTGTGATGCGTTTGATGTCATAGTAACGTTCAGCCTCCAGCTCCTTGGCTACAGCCACCACAGCCTGCACACGCTCATTATAGGCGTTAATGTCTGTCTCAATGGCCTCATGCTTTCTTGTGGCAGCCTCCACTGCAGCCAGATCTATTCCAAAATTGTCCTTAAAACAGAAAAGAGAGAAAAAAAAGAGTTCAATTTAAAAAGAATACCGGCCCTTGGGTTTTTGCCTCTCCTAAGAGAGGAGTGGTCCAGGGAGGCAGGAGGAGGAAGTGGAACTGTTAATTCCATCAGACTTGATGATTTAGTTGCGAATTTGTGCCTGTCAGTTGTGAATTTCTATGAAGAGAAAAAAAGGGACTATGAATAGTTGAGTTGATGGGAGGCAAATCCCACATTCCAGATTCCACTACCTTGTGCGATGCTCTGTCCCATGCTCTCAAAGAGCAATAAGTCAGGAAGTGGCCCAATTGGTCACCATGAAGACTGAAGATTTAGAGCCGCATGGTGGCTCAGCGGTCAGCACTGCTGACGCACAGCGCCCAGGATCCGGGTTCGATTCCAGCCCTGGATGGCTGTCTGTGTGGAGTTTGCACGTTCTCCTGCTTCTGCATGGGTTTCCTCCGGGTGGTCCAGTTTACTCCCACTGTCCAAAGATGTGCAGGTTAGGTGGGTTAGCCATGGAAAATACAGGGTTACATGGAAAGGGTGGGTGGGTTTTAGTGGGATGCGCTTTGGAGGGTTGGTGTGGACTCTATGATTCTAAGATCCAGGGCAGAAATTCTCAACCCAGGGTACATATAATCCTCAAATGAAGGGACACCCACTGCCACTGATAGGCGGCAAATTGGAACTGAAATTGAAACAGGAGCCACTAATGGGCAAGGTGGCGTCTGATACCCTTGGTGGATTACAACGGCAGAGTAGAAGAGGCTTCCAAGGAAATTCCACCTCCCTCCTTCATAAATACCAGTTTACAAATACATTGCTTGGGATTTTTCATAGCATGGCTGCAATGTGAAATGTGATTTTCCCCAGCTGGTGGCTCACCCTGTATGTCATGGGAGCCAGTTTAATATCTACACAATATTTTATACCAGCAGGCACAATGCCCTATGTGTTTAAACGGGAGCTAACATTTCCTTTACAATGTTTTACTGGGAGCTGGCACACTGCCTTCAGCATATTTGAGTTGGAGTTTGTTTGCTGCCCTTGGTGGGAACCAATATTCTACTCAAGCAATGTTGAAAAGGCATCTGTAAGTTTTAAGCAATCATAAGTGTCAGGTCACAGATACAGCTCTTCTCTTGAGTAACAACTCTCTTGAGTGCTGTCAGCTAATGTACGGTCTTTGAATAAACAACGGCTGATCATAAGTCATAACATTTAGAGAAAGAAAATGGAAGTACTTAGCTTGTGAAGCTGTTCCACAATACTGTACAGATGTCTAATACAAACAAAACACCAAAGAGGACGGTGCGTGAATTAAAACTAATGATGAGTTCCACTCAAATCATCTTATCACTTTCAGATGCTGACAAAGATGTAGTGCACCCAATTTCAATTTTATATTTTCAATGTTTGCAAGGTATTTTCACTTTTATCAAATGTACATGTTGTGCCACTGTATAAGGAATTCTCGAACAAGTTCCTCCGTTGAGGAAAAGCACAAATGTTACACAAACTATTTTAGTTTTGTGGGAATGAAACCTTGAAGTGTCCTTTTTGAAGGTTTTCAGGATTATAAGGATAACTTTTCAAATTTGATCTGGAGAATCATTTTCTGTGGCACTGGGTTCAAGTCCTAGGAGACAGAAGTTAAGTGTCAGTGAGTTCAAAGGGAAGCCACACAGAATTTTTCATCCAAACTGTAACTGTTCCACAGGAAAGATGCTGAATTAGATAGTATGATGGGACTAACATGATGCATGGAGGTGAGACGCTTTGATGAAAATGCAGAGCTGGTACTAATATCAGTTGAAAGCCGAGATTTGTCTAGCTAAGTGCCTTTTTGACCCTACAAATTTTGGTATTGTTACTGGTCTCAGTGTCTGAATCTGCAGGTCATGTAGTACACAATGCTCCTTGTACTTGAGGCAGTGTCTCTGTACCAGTATAGAATTACAGGCTTTTGAGTGAGTCTGCTTTTCCTTACCTGGGAAACAAGACGCTGATTTTCACTCAGCCACGTCTCTCTCATAGCTGCTTTGCGATCAAACCGGTGAGCAAGTTGTTCCAGTTTCTCCTGTCGGATAAGCTCAGTTCGCAAGGCTAGTTCCCGCTCGTGCTCAGCTTTCTCCAGTCTTTCCCAGGCCTGGATGGGACAGAAGCAGGGCATAGATGACATCCCTCTGTGGTGAAAGCACTTATTTCCACATACAGGTTATCATGTCTACCTGAACATTAAGTATCAGAAGTCACAGAAGGTAAATGAACTCCCATCTCATGAAACAATGAACCAAACATTGCACAGAGATCTAGCAACAAAAATGCAAATTGCTGGAAAAGCTCAGCAGGTCTGGCAGCATCTGTGAAGAGAAATCAGAGTTAACGGGTGCAGTGACCCTTCCTCAGAGTTCCGATTTCACGGATGCTGCCAGAGCTGCTCAGCTTTTCCAGCAATTTTTGTTTTTGTTTCTGATTTACAGTATCCACAGTTCTTTCAGTTTTTATAGAGATCTAGCAACTGGCCTGAGAACCTCAGGGGAAAACAATCTATTGCTCTCATTTGAGTTATCCCTGCATGCATATGGTTGTAAAGGAAGGACAGAATCAGGTTCATTTGCACCCATGACCAAATAATTCATTAGCGCTCAGTGTCCAAAGCTGCATATAATGTATGTGACTTGTGCAAGGCACCACAGAGCTTGTGAAACCATCTCCTAATAAGAATATCTCTTGAGGGGGAGAAATTAACCTGGAGCTTTAATAAAAGCTACTGTCTGAATTGAATAGTGAGATGATTTCTTCCCTCTTAGATGGGCAGAAAAGATCCCACGGCCACTATTTCAAGGAAGAAGAGTTAAGTTCTCTCCTGTGTCCTTACTAATAAATCTTCACCTCAACCGACGCCACTAAAATTAAAACAGATTATGCGGTGATCATCACGTTGCTGTTTGCAGGATCACGCTGTACATAAATTGGCTGTCACATTTCCTAAGTGGTGACCACATTTGATTTTCTGTTGAGCAATTTTCAGGCATTGGAAGCAATAAAAGGGGCCATGTAAATGCAAATATTTACTTTTCTATCTTTTTGCACATGACCTTGGAAAACCGATGATGATATCAAAAGGGCACACGTGTTAGTGTGCCACTGAGAGAGACGGATTCATGTTGGCACACTGGGAATGTGGCATTTCGGGAGAGGACTGGTGCAAAATATGGCAGGTATAATTATAGTCAAGGAGCCTGCAGAGCCTCACGTTACACAGCACTGCTGATCAGTCCAAGAGGTAGAGCCATGTTATTTATGTACTCTCTTAAATGGAGAGTGATCCATGAAGTGAAAGGCCTAAATAGGGAATGGAAAAATAGGAGAAACAGGCTGAAAAGTTAACAGAAATCAACTGCCTGATCTGTGCAATAAATTGCCTGCTCTCAGCACAATGCTTCTGCAGGAGTAGCACCAGCATGCATGCAGAGGATTGCATGAGAGGTCTCCACATGATCCCGGTCAGCATTCAACTTTGCTCTGATCAGCTCAAAATTTTTGGGCTTTTACAAGCTGGATTATTCCAATAACTTAGTTTAATATACATTTCTTCTTATCCCATTGGCCAGACACCCTACACTGGAATCACACTTTCAGTACCATCTAAATGTTTTGCACATACCTTGTGTACCACAGCATAACCACAAAGTGAGACATTAAAAAGAAACTCCAGCTATCCTCTCAGGGACATGCACAAATCAATATAGTCATTGTTTCTAATGGGAGCTGGGAAGTTTTCCCTAAAAGACCGATTAAGTATTTAATCCTTGAGCGGCATCACACGAAACAGATCATCCGGTTACAATCACAAGAAAATGTCAGAAATACTCAGCACATCAGATAGTAGCTGCAGAATGAAACAAGGTCTATATTTCAGGTCAAGGTGACCTGAGATCAAGAACAAAAACAGAAGTTGCTGGAAAAGCTATCTCCCTACACACTGACTGCACTCTGCGCGCTTAGATCCGACCCTGACTTTGTTATTAAGCCTGTCGATAAGGGCGGCGCTGTTGTAGTTTGACATAGTGACCTCTACATTGCAGAAACTGAGCACCAGCTCTCAGATTCCTCCTGCTACGTTCCACTGGACCATGACCCCAGAATGGTATATCACACCATTGTATCCACCATGGTAACTGACCTCATTACATCTGGTGATCTCCCCGCCCACTGCCTCCAAGCTGATAGTCCCCCAGCCCCGCACAGCTTGCTTCTACCTCCTTCCAAAAATCCACAAACAGGACTGTCCAGGCAGACCCATTGTTTCAGCTGGCTCCTGCCCCGCAGAACTCATCTCTTCCTATCTTGACTCAGTCTTTTCTCCCTTTGTTCAGTCCCTGCCCATGTACATCTCTGATTCCTCTGATGCCTTACGCAATTTTCAGAATTTCCAGTTTGCAGGCTCCAGATGCCTCCTCTTTACCATAGCCGTGTAATCCCTTTACATGTCCATTCGCCACCAGGACAGTCTCAGGGCTCTCAGCTTCTGGAGCAAAGGCCTGAACTGTCCCCACCCACTACCACCCTCCTCCGCTTGGCTGAACTCATCCTCACTCTCAACAGCTTCTCTATTAACTCCTCTCATTTTCTTCAGGTCAGCGGGGTGGCCATGAATACCCGCATAGCCCCCAGTTATGCCCGTCTCCTCATTGGTTACATGAAACATTCCTTTTTCCAGTTCTCTTCTGGCCCCCACCCACAACTCTTTCTCCGATATATCAATGGTATTATCGGTGCTGCTTCCCTCTCTCGTTGGAATTGGAAAAGTTAATCAGTTTTGCTTCCAATTTTCACCCTGCCCTCACTTTCACCTGGTCTATCTCGACTCCTCCCTTCCCTTCCTCTGTTTCCATTTCTGGGGATAGACTGGCTAGTAACATCCACTATAAACCCACCGACTCCCACAGCTACCTGGACTATACATCCCCAACACTTTGCTTCCTGTAAAGATTCCATCCCAATCTCTCAGTTCCTCCATCTCTGTCGCACACGTTCTGATCAATCTAACTTTGACAAGGGAACCTCTGAAATGTCCACCTTCTTCCTCAATCGAAGATTCCCCAGCACTGTTGTCGTTGCCCTCAAAATGGGTTTGACACATCTCCCACACTTCTGCCCTCATCCCTTCTCTTCTCTCCTGCGACAGTGATAGAGTTTCCCTTGTCCTCACATATCATCCAGAAGAGCATCAGTTGCCATTTCCACCACCTCCAGTGAGATGCCACCACCAGATACATATTCCCTTCCTCTTCCTTGTCCCTTCCTCAGGGATCGTTCCCTCTGGGATACCCTGGTCCACTTTTCCTTCACTCTCAACAACCCTCCACAGCCCTACAGCACCTTCCCCTGTAACCGACGAAGGTGCAACACCTGCCCATTACCACCTCCCTCCCCAGTATTCAAGGGCCCAAACATACCTTCCAGGTGAGGCAGCACTTCACCTGCACTTCCCACAATCTAGTCTATTGTATTCGCTGCTCACAATGTGGTCTCCTCTACACTGGGGAAACAAAGCATAGACTGGGTGACTGCTTTACAGAACATCTACATTCTGCTCGCAAAAAGACCCTGAGCTTCCCGTTGCCTGCCACTTTAACACACCACCCTGTTCCCTGGCCAACATCTTTGTCTCAGGCTTACTGCAGTGTTCCAGCAAAGCTCAGCACAAGCTGGAAGAACACCACCTCATTTTCCACTTGGGGACCCCTCAGGACTCCAGACTCAATATTGACTTCAATAATTTTAGGACCTAAACGCTCCCATGTCCTAGTCCCCAGCCCCCCAACACCAGGCCTTGTTATCACATAGTCTGCCATTACACACTGGCTATTGTTGGTCACTAACAATCCCCATTAACAACTATTCACCCTCCTATCCAGATCGTTATCAACTCCGTTGTCTATCCAACTGCTCTTCTCTCTCTTTGGGCTCATTCCTCACCTATCGTTTACTTCTTAACCCCTCCCTCCACCCTACCTTCTGTATATAAACTGACATTTTCCCAGCAACCATCAGTTCTGAGGAAGGGTCACCGGACCCAAAATGTTAACTTTGATTTTTCTTCACAGATGCTGCCAGACCTACTGAGCTTTTCCATCAACTTCAACTGCATCCGCAGTTCTTTCGGTTTTGACTCGAGATCAGAACTGAGTAAAAACTTCTGATGAAAGATCATCTTAATCTGAAATGGTAACTCTGTTACTTTTACTATAAATGCTGCCTTACTTAATGAGTGTTTATACCACTTTTCTTGGTTTTAATTACAGTTTGCCAGCAGTGGCAATATTTTATTTTTGCAGTTCCTCACATCGCACTGCTTACTGTGTACCAACTGGCTACCATGTTCCTTTCTTTGACCAAATCAAAAGTACTAAAGGTAAAGCCTTTTGGGAGGTGGTGAGATTTCATGAGGTGTTGCGTAAATAGAAGTCACTTTACTTTGTTAATTTTTATTTCCTCATAGCAATGATGCAAGGAACTGAGTGGTTTATGAAGCCAAGGAGAAACGATGGCCACAACAATCAAATCAGAAAACTGGACAATGAGCTGAATCACCCTTCAGCTGGGAAATTAAGCCATGTGGAGTAGTGATTATGTGCCAGTCCTGCAGTCTACATTATGTTGTACATTTATTTGACCATACAGTCAGAAAGCAGGGTTCGTCACCTTGTTAATGTCGGAGATAAGTTTGCCCTCTCGTGGAATGTAGACTTTCTGGTTGTTGGCTCTCATTTTGCTTTGAATAGTGAAAAGTAGTACCTCTAGATTGCCTTTTTCTGTAAACCTGTCAAAGGAAACATCGCAAGAATTTCACTTAACTGCTGTTACTAGTTCAGCAGTCTGAGGTGAATAAGGACCCAAACAGACTGCATCAGTTTATTCCAATTCTATTTACCAATAAAAATATCATAATTGAGAAAGAACTTCAACCCTGTTGGAAGGTATAATACAGGAGGGGACAGGTGGAGGGGCATCAAACAGTTTACAGATGATACACCCTGAAGTCAACAGAAAGGAAAGTCAGACAAAGGTGGATAATGGCTTGCCAATCCACTACAGGCCATTTGACACAACCTGCTGAGATTGAGAACACTGCTGAGCAAAAAGTCTCTATTCCTTTTCGAACATGAAATAAAGAGGCTTGGTATATGCATTATTCTATAGCCTATATCTACAAGAAGATGGCATAGCGAACCAGAGATCCAAGCTAATGTTCTGGGAGTGCAGGTACAAATCATATCATGGCAGCTAGTGGAATTTAAATTCAAATTAATAAAAATCTGCAATTCAAAGCTCATCCCAGTAATGGTGGCTGTGAGACCAACCATGAATTGTTTTAAAACCATTTAGAATTCACTCATGTCCTATAGGGAAGGACATGAGTGCTTAGGCGACACAGGCCTTACTACTCTGGTCTTTATGTGACTTGGAAACAAATGGAAGTGAGCCCACAGAATCAAATGAAAACTATGCGGCCAATTCCCAACAGAAGCAATTTCCACTCCATTCTGCAACTCCTTTCCAAATGCTACGCTGGGTTTCTGCTCAGCGCTTTGTTTGAATCTTGGGCCTTGCAGAGCAGTACAATTTCAGCTGCAAGGGTTTCCACCAGTGAACTCCTAAGTTTTAAGTGCCCCCAGTGACAGATCAAGCAAGGTTCAGATGTGCTGTGCCCATAAAAGGAGGGAAAATAATGAGACACCCATGTGTGCTGTGCTGTCCTGCACTTCCCAACAGTCAGAATCTTCACAAGCCACATTGTCTGAGACAGACTGCAATTTACCTCCTCTTCCCTTCATTTGGAAAAGATGTATCAAGCAGCGGATCTTGCATAAGAAGGAGGGACTGGCTTGGAGCCAAAAAGTAACAACATGCAACATACATATCAAAACTAGGGTAAAACTTAATAAGAACCACGCAATAAGAACAAAAAAGAATCCCCCTCGTCCTCACGTACCACCCCACCAACCTCCGGATCCAACGCATCATCCTCCGACACTTCCGCCATCTGCAATCCGACCCCACCACCAAAGATATCTTTCCCTCCCCACCCTTATCTGCTTTCCGGAGGGACCACTCTCTCCGTGACTCCCTTGTCCGCTCCACACTCGCCTCCAGCTCCACCACACCCGGCACTTTTCCCTGCAACCGCAGGAAGTGCTACACCTGCCCCCATACCTCCTCCCTCACCCCCATCCCAGGCCCCAAGAAGACTTTCCACATCAAGCAGATGTTCACCTGCACATCTGCCAATGTGGTATACTGCATCCGCTGTACCCGTTGTGGCCTCCTCTACATCGGGGAAACCAAGCGGAGGCTCGGGGACCGCTTTGCAGAACACCTACGCTTGGTTCGCAATAAACAACTGCACCTCCCAGTTGCGAACCATTTCAACTCCCCCTCCCATTCCTCAGACGACATGTCCATCCTGGGCCTCCTGCAGTGCCACAACGATGCTACCCGAAGGTTGCAGGAACAGCAACTCATATTCCACTTGGGAACCCTGCAGCCCAATGATATCAATGCGGATTTCACAAGCTTCAAAATCTCCCCTCCCCCTACCGCATCCCAAAACCAGTCCAGCTCGTTCCCGCCTCCCTAACCTGTTCTTCCTCCCACCTATCCCCTCCTCCCATCTCAAGCTGCACCCCCATCTCCGACCTACTAACCTCATCCCGCCCCCTTGACCTGTCCGTCCTCCCTGGACTGACCTATCCCCTCCCTAACTCCCCACCTACACTCACCTTTACTGGCTCTATCCCCGCCTCTTCAACCTGTTTGTTTCCTCTCCACCTATCCTCTCCTCTATCCATCTTCTATCCGCCTCCCCCTCTCTCACTATTTATTTCAGAACCCCCTTCCCCTCCCCCATTTCTGATGAAGGGTCTAGGCCCGAAACGTCAGCCTTTCTGCTCCTCTGATGCTGCTTGGCCTGCTGCGTTCATCCAGCTCTGCACCTTGTTGTCTAGGGTAAAACCTTCTTGGTTTCTGCCTGAGTCAGAAAGCAGGAGAGTTTGGAGATGGGAATTTCTTGTCTGACAAAGATGGGAAATTCTGCTGGATCTTAAAGCTTCCAGACAGCTGATTGGTTGCTCACAGGTTCTACCAGGATCCAGAATGGGGGAAAAGTCACAACCATCATGAGCTGTCATCCAATCAGAAGCTGCCAGTCAAACCGACCAAAGACTCCCAGGATGGAGGATTACACAAACAAAAATTAAGTGTTATCTGGGGAGGGTTTCTAGGCTGTGCAGTCATGGCAAGAGGCAGTAGGGTAGATTGAATGCAAGGGTAGAGATATAGCTGTCAGCAGTCAACCCCTTGCCCTAGATTTTTGTAATAGAACCCCACTAACACAAATGGCAGCCTGTAATATTGATTATCCAATTGGCAGCTGAGTAGGAACATACAGCTCGAGTCTCTCCTCCCCAAAAAAACATAATTCAGGCAAAGTGGGGAAGGTGATGGGACTTTGGTCCTGCCTAATTAAGTTTGCTTCCTGCCTTCCAGGCCCAGATGATTATGGCCTAGGAGTAACAAATGAATTATAGCTAGGAATGACACAAAACTATTTGCATAACCTTGTGATAAGCCTGCTCATATGAAATGAATCCAAATAAAACTGTATGTTGTTATGCAATCGAGAAACTGGATGGAATATTTAGCTCCCAAGGCCTGACCTTTTGACATTACCCACATTACTGCCCACGACAAAGATGTCTGAATAGCTAATTCACAGGAATCAGTCTGAGGTGCTTCTAAATTGTTGCTTCCTGTCCCTTAGCCTGAGGCCAGGTTATCAAGGTCATTAAGCTCTTGCCTGTTTGCTTCCTCTTTATCTCAACAAAGTACTTTCGACACTTGTAAATCGTGATGATTAAAATGGGACAGTTAGATGTAAACTCTAAATCTACACAGGTTCCACAGACAAAGTATAACTAATGATGAGGGGCTCGGGGTAGCTTGCTTACTTGGGTGGTTTCTCCACAGTGCGGTAGGTATTGAATGCTTGAAGTTGATTCTGAACCCCATTCAGTGAGTTTGCCAGTTTGCGATCATTCAATGTAATGATGGTGTGCTCAATCCACTGCAGGAGGTCAGAGGCAAGAGTTTCATACTTGTCAATCATGTTGTCTGCCTCAATTGCATAATCCAACACCTGGGTCAGAGAAAACAGCACAATTATTCACTGGTGCATGGAGATCGCAGAAAGAACACAGCTAAAAGACTCAGGAAATAAATGGGTGGTGAGTTCTAGATTAATGCTCACATTGAAACAAAAATGCTTCACAAACAATGCAGATTTCATACCAAACCACAAGGACAGAAAATGTTCTGTGTAATTAACTGATCTCAGCAGTCAGGGTACTATGCTTCATTTGTGCACCTAGGATAAAAATTGGGGTAGGAACTAACCAGGGCTCTCAAATGATCAATATTCAGTGAAGAGGACTGGCTCCAATGTATCTAGCTCACAGTGGGCTAAGAGACGCATGATAAAGTTATTGGACGATAGCAGTGTAAGAGCAGTGCTATTGGACTTGTAATCTAGAGGTCTAGGCTAATGATCTGCAAATAATGGTTCACATTCACCAGGGTGGCTGGTGGAATTTGAATTCAGTCAATAATTCTGGAATATAATTAAGTTTCAGCCAATGGAGACTGTGACAATGACCACTGATTGCTGTAAAAACCTATCTAGTTCACTAATGCTGTTTGGGGATGACAACATGTGACATCAGACCCACCACAATGTAGATGACTCTTAACTGTCTAGCAAGCTGCAGAGACCAAGGGCAATTAGAGACGGGCAGCAAATTCTGGCTTTACGTCAGCTTTGGAATTTCCAGTTTGCAGGCTCCAGCCACCTCCTCCTTACCATGGACATGCAATCCCTTTACACGTCCATCCCCAACCAGGATGGTCTCAGGGCTCTCCGCTTCTTTGGGAAGCAAAGACCTGAACGGTACCCACCCACCACCACCCTCCTCTACTTGGCTGAGCTAGTCATCATCCTCAGCAAGTCTTTAACTCCTCTCATTTTCTTCAGGTCAGAGGACTGGCCATGGCTACCTGCACGGGGCCCAGTTATGCCTGTCTCTTCGTGGGGTATCTGGAACATTCCTTGTTCCAGTCCTATTCCAGATCCCATCCACAACTCTTTCTCCAATGTATCAATGACATTATCGATGCTGCTACCCCGTCTCGTCTGGAATTGGATAAGTTCATCGAGTTCACTTCCAATTTCCACCCTGCCCTCACTTTCACCTGGTCTATCTCTGACTCCTCCCTTCTCTTCCTTGACATCTCTGTTTCCATTTCTGGGGATAGACTGGTAGCTAATATCCACTATAAACCCACTGACTCCCACAGCTCCCTGGACTGTACAGTCTCCATTAACAGCTATTCACCCACCTAGCCAGATTGTTATCCACTCCTTTGTCTGTCCAACTGCTCTTCTGTCTCTTTGGGCTCTATCCCCACCTATCGTTTACTCCTTCCTCCTCCCCTCACCCTATTTTCTGCATATAAACTGACATTTTCCTAGCTACCATCAGGCCTGAGGAAGGGTCACTCGATCCGAAATGTTAACTCTGATTTCTCTTCACAATGCTGCCAGACCTGGTGAGCTTTTTCAGAAACTTCTGTTTTTGTTTCTGATTTACAGCATCCAGCAGTTCTTTCAGTTTTTAATCAAAGTCTTGCCTCGTCAACTGCCTAACCAAAGGGAACAATTCTTTTCAAAAGTCCATGGAGTTACACCACATTCAGGAGTCCACCCCTCTAGGGAAGAGAGAAAGTAAGATCAGCTGTAGCAGTCAACACATCAGTCATGCAAGGAAATGACTGTATTTGACAAAAACATTTGTTTGTAGTCGGGATTTGTTATGAGCAGCGTCTTTGTAAATATTACGGTACTCATCATTTTTCTTACACTCAACCATTATTCCTCCTCATACCTTCCCAATTCGTTTCCCTTCTACTGCCAGTGCCTTCATCTTAGAGAAGTAGTGATAATAAGTAGCAACGTAAGTGATGATTGATTTTTCATCAGGCTGGTCCACACTGACATCTGGAAGCAAAAGAAAAACAACTAGTTTATGTGGATCTACATTTCACCAAATGAAACATACTGCAAATCTTCAGCATCAAGTCTCAATTCAACACTGTAAAATGACATCCTATCTGCAACTGTACTATTTAGAAGCAAGGAACGTCTGTTCATGACAGTGTGCAAATGCTCAACAAATTTCCATCACGTTCCACTATCAGTCGTTTTAATGGAAACTTCAGCTAATTTCTAAACACTGCTCGCTTCCATACTCCTTAAAACTGAGAAACTCAAGTGAAGGGTTGAGGATACCATTGCAGCTGACAGGACAAAGAGAAATTAACAGCTCTGAAATGTGTGGAGTATTCAGAACAAGGTAAAAGATTTAATGCACAAATAGAGATTAATGGGTATAATCTCAATGCCATTAAAGAGGCATAGGTACAAGGAGATCAAAGCAATAAACTAAATTTTCAGGAGAATGTCACTTTTCGAAAGTACAGGCAGGAAGGAAAGGGTGGCAGGTAGCTTTGTTAGTACAAGATGGGATAAATATGATAGCAAGAAATGATCTTGACTCAGGAGATATAAAATCTATATGGATGGAGATAAGAAATAACCAAGGGAAGAAGACAGAGGCAGGAGTATTCCATAGGATGCCCAGAAGTAGCTATACTGTAGGGCAAGGAATAAATCAGGAGATAAAGAGAACACGTGAGAAAAAGTATATTAATCATGGGTGACTTAAATTGGAAAAATCTCTTATCCATGGAAAAATATACTGGCATTGGAGGCAGTCCAGAAAAGGTTCACTAGGTTCATTCCAGGTATTGAGGAATTTTCTCATGAAAAGAGGTTGAGTAGGTTAGGACTTTACTCCTTGGAGTTTTGAAGAATGAGAGGCAACATGGAAAATTCTTAGAAGCCTTGACTAGGTTGATGTTGAGATGTTGTTTCCCCTTCTGAGACAGCCTACATCTAGAGGGCATAAGCTCAGACATTCAAGACCAAAATTGGGAGAAATTTCTTCTCTGAGGTTAAGGGGTGTTCTGATTGAAGTCTTCAAGATATTTAATAGGAAAAGACAGGGTAGATAAAGATAACTATTTTGACTAGTCAGAGATTCTTGAACTAGAGGGCATAATGTAAAAATTAGGGCCAGACTGTTCAAAAGAGATGTTAGAAAGCACTTCTACACACAAAGGGTGGTGGAGGTTTAGAAGTCTCTTTCACAAATGGCAGTTGATGTTAGATCATTTGTTAATTTCAAATCTGAGCTAGGTAATTTTTGTTAAGCAAAGGTATTAAGGGATATGGGCCAAGACAGGCATATATAAAGTTAGGCCACACATCAGCCACGTTCTCCATGAACGACGGAACACGCTCAAGGGGCTAAATGGCCTATTCCTGCTCCTATAAGTTGTGCTGTTAACAAAATATTTAACAAGCAATAATCCCCATTAATTGCCAACTCACTTTTACACAGCAAGAAACTTGCCTTGCTAAAGAGGCCTCACTGGACTTCCAACTCTGCCAAAATCTCACTTTATTCTATGGACTATGGACTAAAAAGAATACTGCTTTAAACTATGGAGACTGTTCAAAGAGACAACTGGAATTTTAAAGATCATGTTTACTGGAGCATATTATGAGTTGTTTACAAAGTTTCATTTTCCTGGTACATATAGCAAAAAGCCATGTGAGCGAGCTCATACTTAAAAAAAAAAAGAGAATATACGAAATCAGACAAAAGTCGATTACATAGCTCCACAAGAGCAGTTGGGTTCTGAAGATAAAGAAAACTGTTTGACAACAACATTCTGATAGACTCCTCGCCAGGTAGCTATGTCTTGTGTGGAGCCAGTGGAACAGAGAACCCACTTGCCTAGCCTGCAATGAGAAAGCATTGAAAAAATCTGTGTTTCTCTGCTGTGTGGAGGCATTAGAAAGTCTCTGTCATAGCCAGGAGATTTCATCTCACCATTCTTTGCAAATTTTCTGTTGAAGGAGGTGTTAAAAACTCCTCTAATGATAGAGGAAAAGCAATTTCACAACCAGCACGGCCAAAAATTTAAATGGAATTGAAATGAAGAGAAAGAAAGCAATTTATTGAAATCCTGTAGTGCAGAGTGGTACTATTGAACTGTATTTCATGATTTTGTATCTTGTTCCAACTTTAATATCCACATATTGGAACCATAGAATCCCTATGGTGTGGAAGCAGGTCATTTGGTCCATCAAATCCACTGCAGCCCTCCAAAGAGCACTGTATCCAGACCCATCCCCCAATCTTATCCCTATAACTCTGCATTTACCATGGCTAATTCAGCTAGCCTGTACAACCCTGAACCTTACAGGGCAATTTAGCATGGCCAATCCACCTAACCTGCACATCTTTGGACTGAGAGAAGAAACTGGAGCACCCGGAGGAAACCCATGCAGACATAGGGAGAACAAGCAAACTCCACACAGACAGTCGCCCAAGGCTGGAATCGAACCAAGGTCCCTGTAGTAGTGAGGCAGCAGTGCTAACCATTGTGTCACCATGCCACCCCAGACAGTGTCTGTCTATATTTGTCGGTTTGTGAAGGGGACAATTTCAGAAAGGATAGAGTTCAAGTTGGCAATAATATTTCCCAACTGCCTTTGGTTAAAAATTATTTGTTTGTAAATAACAGCTATTGTTAAGTACAGAAACCTAGTTAGTGTTCTCTTTCAACCTGAGTTCATCAGATAAATTGGGGACTATGAATAGTTTGACTGAATCTTTTCACATTTATAATACTTCGAGTGCAGTTGGGCTTGATTTCAAGCACACCAACCCACTGTGACGTGATACTTAACAAAAGGAAAATCTGATTATTATCATGCTGCTGTTTGAGCAAAATAGGCTGCAATCTTTTTCACCAATTGTAATTCAAAATTACTTCGAAACATCCTGAGGTCATGAACAATTCTACATAAATGCAAGTGTTTCTTCTCTAAATAGATAGCTCAATTTAGTTGCTTTTTTAGATTCATTCATGGGATGTGGACATTGCTGGCCAGGTTACTGCCCATCTCTAAGTGCTCTAGAGAAAGTGCAAGTGGTGAGCTACTTTCTAGAACCAATGCAGAAAGGTACCCACAATGCTGTTAGGAAGGGAGTTCCAGGATTTTGATCCAGTGACAGTGAAGCACCAACAATATAGTTCCAAGTCAGCACATTTTGTGGCTTGGATTGGTACTTACAGGTGGTGACCCCATGCATCTGCTGCCCTTGTCCTTCAGGTGGTAGTGGCTGTAGGTTTGGAAGATGCTGGAGGAGGAGTCTTGGGGAATGGCGGAAGCATGAATGTCAGAGATATAGTTAAATTCTCTCTTGTTCAGATGATCATTGCCTGACATTTGTATGGCCTGAATACGACGTACCACTTATCAACCGCAGCCTGGAAGTTATCCAGATCTTGCTGTTTTAGTATCTGAGAAGTTACACATGGTTCTGATCATTGTTCATTCATCAGTGAACAACCACACTTCTGACCTCGTGATGGGGAGGTTATTGATGAAGCAGCCAAAATTGGTTGGGCCTAGGACACTACCCATACCTAATGCGTCAAAAACCACAAAAACAAATGCACTACTTCTCTCACAAGGGGCTAACTATTCCATTAGGTTCTCCAAAGTTTCAACGTACACCAGTTAAATCCAGGATATCACAAACATTAGGATCAAGTCTTTGCCTGCATTTGTGTCCTAATATACCTTCAGGATCCAGCAGTTTGGTGAGTCCCAGTTGCTGCTCTGCCACATTGAAAGCATTTTGTAAGTTGTAGTGAGCATTTGACTTCTTTAGTCTGTCAAAGTCAATCAGATCAGGCCTGAAGCAAAGAACAAAGAGAAGAATGGTCCTTATCAAATGAAAAGAACGAGGCTGACATCACAAGACAAAATCAGATTGTGTGTGTGCAAGACCAGACTAAAAAAAGGAATACGCAGAATAAGATCAACCCACAAGTGTGCTTTACCATTCCACAAGATCATGGTTGATCTTTGACTTCTTTAATAGAACATGGGCAACAATGGCAAGTTAGCATTTAACTGCCTTTGAACTGAGTATCTTGTTAGGTCATGACTGTCAATCATACTGCTGTGGCTCTGGAGTTACATATAGGCCAGATCAGATAAGGACAGATTTCTTCCTTAAGGGACATTATTAAATCGGATGGATTTTTACAATAATTGATGACAGTGTCGTTGCATCATTACTGAGACCTGATTTCAATTTCAGATGTGTTAATAATTCAATTCAAATTCCACCAGCTTCTGTGGTTGCATCCAACCTTGTATCCCCCAGGTCTGAATTTATAGATTCCTAGTCCAGTGACATTAATCACTAAACTATTGTCTCCCTACTTTCCTGACTTAATCCCACGTCCCTGGATTCCCTTGATTTATCATTCCAACATGAATCCATTACACATTTTAATTGTGTAATCACTGGGACAGATCCTAATAGATTGTAAACATGGAAGAGAGGTTTGGAGTCGGAGTCTGACATCAAAAAATGTGCAGCCATTTGATTCACCTGTTGATACAGTGTATCCCAGATTCACAGACCAGAAGGTCCTGACATCCGACTTCAGTTCTGTGCTATGTTAATTGATTTCCACAGGGAATGTTTCCTACAATCCAGTTGGCAAGTATGAATTTCTACAGCAATTTCTGCTTTTATTTTAAATTTCTAACATCCACATTTCTTGGATTTATTTATTGATAAATCATACACTGGTTTTAATGATATCATGTAATCTATTTTATGAAAATACTACTAGCTACTACTGCACCTTCAATTCAATACTGGCACTTATTATGCAAACTGTTGGATAATGTTATCTTGAAACATTCAATTCTGTTAAAATCTCCCTGAATTCTGAAGGAATGATAAGATACCTGTGTTTGTGGACAATTGCATTGAAGGCCAGTCCATCCCTCCAGCTTGTGGTGAAGTTGTGAACATTAACATTGGGATACCTGCAAAACACAATGAACAACCAAAAGTCGAAGAGTTTCAACTTAGTACCAGACTGGGTCAGATTTTGTGTGGTGGCAGCAGTGGCGACGATGGTGATGGTGGTGGAGGAGGAGAAGAGAGATGTGCACGAATTGAAAAATGACAAGCTAAAAGCTATTTTTCACACAATGGATTGCGAGGGATGCTCTCTGAGCAGGTAACTGAATAGGTAGTGAATGGATTCTCTGATTAGTAACTGTAATAAACACAATGTCGCCACCCGACTGAAGGCATTCTAATGAAAGAGCAAGAACATGTTTTGTAGAGCTGAGGTCAGGTCAGGATGGACTGATAGAGAGAACCAAACTGTTTACACGATTGCCTGTTCAAAATCTATTACGAAAGGTACAAGAGTTCACCTAACCAGCAACTGGTGGATGAAGGGGAGGAACTGTCAGAACTGAGAGGCTCCAGAACATCAATTAGTTTGAGTTGTGGGGAGAGGCTAGATAGGCTTGCACTTTTTGCACTGGAACATCGGAGATTGAGAGGTGACATTATAGAGGTTTATAAAATCGTGAGGGGTGTAAGTAAGGTGAATGGCAGGTGTCTTTTCCCTAGGGTGGGGGATTTCAAGACTAGGGGGCACATTTTTAAGGCAAGAGGAGAAAGAGTTAATGAGGAGCGACTTTTTTTTACACAGAATGTGGAATGAACTTCCAGAGTATGTGGTAGATGCAGGTAGTGTTACAATATTTAAAAGACATTCAGACATGAATAAGAAATGTTTGAAGACATCTGGGCCAAGCGCAGGCAGGTGGGACAAGTTTAGCTTGGGATTATGTTTGGCATGGACTGGTTGGGCCAGAGGGTCTGTTTACGTACTGTATGACTCAATAATAACTGTCACATAGAAATTCAAGTTCTGAAGACGTGTCACAGGGTGACGAAACCCAAACTCTTTGTCAATGTGCTTAGTTCAGTGCATAACTTATTTGTCAACTTGCATAATATATTTCATAGAATCATAGAATCCCTACAGTGTGGAAGCAGGCTACTCAGCCAATCAAGTCCACACCACACCTCCGAACAGCATCCCACCTAGACCCAACCTATCTCTGTAATCCTACATTTCCCACGGCCAATCCACCAACCTGCACATCTTTGGACTGTGGGAGGAAAGCAGAGCACCCAGAGGAAACCCACACGGACACAGGGAAAATATGTAAACTCCACACAGCGAGTCGCCTGAGGGTGGAATCGAAACCGGGTCCCTGGTGCCATGAGGCAGCAGTGCTAACCACTGCTGTTCATAAATTTCTTACATAAAAGGCATTTTGCACAGGGTGGAAACACTTGACTATCAGTGACAGTCAACCACCCACTGACCAAGGGTAGCACAGATTGATACAGTGAACGCTCCCTTTATTCCGACAGAGGGCCTCAGCTTAAAACTCAGAATGGTGTTCGAAGTAGAGATTTTATAAACACAGGTTCTAATAAAATTATGTACGCTGAACATTGATTTCTTTGTCAGATGTTGATTAATCTGCTATGCATTTCAAGAACTGTCTGTTTCTCATCTATCTGTGCACTTTGCAGGACTTGCCACTTAATTCCCTCTGGCAATTTTCCAATTCTGCTTACCCTGCTGTCTTCATTTGGCACCAGAGCAGAAGCGCATCTTTGGCAGATTTCTTTTCTTTGTTATCCTCTGTTTCAACACTGATATCTTGGATCTTTTGAAACAAAAGCCATGATAAGTCAAATACATAAGCAAGATCAAGGACTATGTAACTTATTGCAAACAAATGCAAATCATTATTAAGGCTTCAAGATAACCTCAAATACTGACTCACTGTGGAAAGACCATTTACCCTTGTGTGGCAATTAAAAATGCCTTGTGTGTCAGTGCCTTCATTTGGGATTTTTAATTTGGTGGTAGCAGCAAGAAGAGCGAGAGAGAGAAACAGAGTGAAAACAAAGTGGTTTTTCCGTAAAGAGGCAGCCCCACCCAGTTTGTTCGCAAACAAGAAAACGTAGCATTTAAGGTAAAGCAAGCAACTGTGATATTAAATTCCTCCAATAATGCAGGGTAAGTGTTGTGAGGGGTGCTTGACTTAAACATGTTTTTGACATAGATACTTCTGATAAAGAACAATGAAGGGTGATCATATATGCATGGAACCTGAATACTCGTGACCTAAATAGACTGTAACCTTTTGCTGCCGCTGGAAAATCACTCCCACAACATGAAGGGTCCCTCCTGCTTCATATTTGTAGTTCAGTCCATCTTTTGCTGAATCACTCACTTTTGCCTTTGTTACCTCCAGACTTGATCATTTCAAAGTTCTCTTAGCTTGCCTCCCATTTCCCATTTTTCATCATAAGGAACAGGAACAGGAGTAGATCATTCAGCCCCTCAAAACTGCTCCACCATTCATAGGATTATGGCTTATCTGACATTCCTTATGTCTACTTTCCTGCCCTTCCTTGATTTCCCTCCTGAACAAAGAATCTATCGCAACCTTAAATATACACTAAGGACTCTGTACCCACAGTTCTCTGTGGCAAGGAGTTTCAAAGACTTACAATCCTCTGAGAGAAATTCCTCCACAACTCATTCTTAAATTCATTTCCCTTTATTTTGACACTATGCCCTCTGGACCTAGTCTCTCCCATGAGGGGAAACATCCTCTCATTTACACTGTGAAGCCCCTTAAAATTCCTATATGTTTCAATGAGCTCATCTCTCATTCTTCTAAATTCCAATGAACAGAGTCCCAAATTGTTCAATCATTGCTCATAAGACAATCCCTCCATACGTGGGATCATCCGAGTGAACCTTTTCTGAATTACCTTCCGTGAAATGCTGCCTTTCCTTAAATTACGGGACGAAAACAGTTCATAGTACTTCAGATGTGGTTTCACCAGCACCTTGTACGGTTGCAGAAAGACTTCTCTACTCTTATACTCCAACCCCCTTGAAATATAGGCCAACATTCCATTAGCCTTCCTGATTACATGCAGCACTTGTGTGCTATCCTTGTGTGTTTTGTACATAAATACTCCCACATCCCCTTGTATTGCAACTTTCTGTAGCTTCTCTCCATTTAAATAATATCCTGTTATCTAGGTTTCCCTTCAAAAATGAACAATTTTGCATTTTCCCATGTTAGTCCATTGGTCGGCCTTATCCTGACCCATATTTGGCAGTGTTCACCTATTACACCTGTACTTGCTGGCTTAAGTTAATGTGTCCTCTTGTGGAGAAGAGCATAGCTAGAGGGGATGAATAGAAGATGTTTATCAACAAATTCAATACGAGAATTTAGAAACTTCTTCACTCAAAAGCAGTGAGAATTTGAGATTTGCTGTCATAGACACTGATTAATCTAAATTGCATAGGTACATTTAAGGGGAAACCAGACAATCATATGCGAAGATAGTTATGAAGGTAGACTTAGATGGAAAAAGGCTTCAATGTAGCATAAACACCTGCATAGGCTGGTTGGGCCAATATCATATGTAAATGGAATGTGTCATTCATTCACTACTACTCATAAATAAATTGGAAAAAAAAACCATCTTGATGTATCAACTGCTGCAGTATGTACTTGAAATCGAAGGATGATGGTCCATATTAAGCCCAGAGTAAGCCGGTGGTTCCCATCTACAATGTCATGTGAGCCCATGTTTTCCAGATGGACTTTCTGCTCTTTCAAGAATTGCAGGGCCTTATCCACATTTTCTAAACAGTGAATCCGCATCCGTCCTTTGGTGGGTTTGGGCTGGAAATAGAAGCAGAGAGCTTGGTTTAATATCATAACAGGTCATGGCAATTCAGTCATTTGTAGGGCACACGTTTATCAAGGAAAACTTATTCAGACGGTGCATCACAATGTACTGAATGGAGATCGAGCAACCTCCTATTTTAACTGCAAAACATTATAAAGATCAATACAGTAACAAATGTCTTTCCTCAACTATCATTTGATGCATGTTCTGGTGCTCCTTCCCTTCCCAAATTGTGACACAACTTGGGATATTTTGTCATATTAAAATTAATATTCAAATGTATGTTATTTCGGACTGCCGACAAAGTCCTGCAAGATTACTGCACACTTCAGGATTTGTGCAACTCCTGTTAAAAGTAATTAATACTTTTAGGAGTCAAAGCATTATAAAGAGACAAAAGAAAGCTAAACATTAGTAACTGGGTACACAAAAGAGAATGATTTTTAAACTCAACATTGGCAATTACCATTTGGTTCATGGAAAAATAGATGTGGCTTTGATTTTACACTCCAAAAAAAAAGTTCCTATGTTATCTATGAAAGTTAAAATATTCCATTCGGATTAAGATGTCTAGTAATTAAACAGGAAGACTAATTGGTACATTATATGTATTCTCTAATTCTGCTGACATTAAATAAATAGCCTACATCATTTCAATTCCCAGCAAACACTTGTTACTCACCTGACAACACACTTATTTAACTTCATTTGCACACAGCAAGTTAACTAAATGGAAGAAGGCACAGAGCACATAGGTGTGACTGATCCAGTCTATGTGAATTTTACCCACATAACCCCTCTAAAGAGATGCAATGCTGTGTGCCTAATGAACGCTTCATTCCACAACCCTATAGTTAACCACCTACTCTAGCCTCATACTAAATCTAGTTTGCATAGGCGTTCTAAGGTTCCTTACTGCACTTAACATCATAAAACTGTGCTCTCAGTGGGGATATATGCATGGAGTAAGCGTGGACTGGAGTTTCAGGCAACAATGTTGTCATGCTATCTCCGATCCTTCAAGCACAGATTTCCTGCAGGAATACTGAAAATACTAATAAACTTCAAACATGGGAGAGGTTAACTTTACATCATTAACATCTGACAATTGTCTTAAAATCTTTCGTCGTTGGGTATGGTTTACAACATTCCTTGTGACTCATTTAAAATGCTTTCCAAATATCAGTAACCTCTGAAATACAGGGTGGGCCAAAGGAAACAGTTTTGTTACCCTGTATTCTCAATGCACTGCAGTGGAAACAGTGTGCCAGGTGAGTCAACAATCACAAAAGCTGAATTCTTCAAACGTAGTATAGAAAATCAACCTGTCCAACTTGAAACTCTAAAGGAAATCTGATAACCTTACAGACCTAATGACTTACCCCTATATACCCTTCAGAATGCAAAGCCAAAGTCTGAAATCAATTGCATATGAGATCCAACCTTTGCTGAGTTCAAAAACTGGTAGTCACAGCAGGGCAAAAAGTGACCCATCTTCTAATCGGTTTCTGATAATATCTCAACGTTAAGGAACACCTGCAGCATGCCACTTACATAGAACACAGAACTGTACAGCACAGGAACGGGCCCTTTGGCCCACAATGTTGTGTCAAACATGACACCAAATTAGACTAATCCCTTCTGCCTGCCCTTAGTCCAAATCCCTCCATTCCTCCCTTATTCATGTGCTTATCTCAAATTTTCTTAAATGCCCATATCATATCTGCCTCCACCACCACCCCTGGCAGTACGTTCCACACTCCTACCGCTCTCTGTGTAAAAAAACTTGCCCCTCACATCTCCTTTGAACTTTCCCCCTCTGACCTTAAATGCATGCCCCCTAGTATTAGACATTTCAACTCTGGGTAAAAGATTCTGACCGTCAACCCTATCTATGCATCTCATAATTTTATAGATTTCTATCAAATCTCCCCTCAGCCTCCACCGCTCCAGGAAAACAACCCGAGTTTTTCTAGCCTCTTCTTATAGTCAATACCTGTATTCCCACTTAAGTAGAAGCTAGCAACTTCTAAGCAATGCCCTCCCCAGTTTAAAACATGGTGAAAAGAAGAAAGATGAATCAATAGATTAAAAAAAGGAAAATAACTGGGAGGAAAATAAAGATGCAAAAATACCAGAAATGCAGGGCAAGATGTGTGCAAACAAATTAGGGATGCTAGAAATAAATGGATTAGATATATTTGTAAAATAAAACTCACTGGCTAGCTGTCAATCCATTTCAATAGGTATACATTTTGATAAAATAACCAAGAAAGTAAATTTGTTAGATAGCATAATGTGTTACATGGCAGAAGATCTTGGAAGTATGATTTGTACAGAAAACGAGGCCAAATTTTTACTTGGTTTAGACAAACAGATCATAAAGAGATATTCAACTTGGCAGCAGCCACAGGTTTAACACATTAAACAGCAGCGTGGGAGGATATTAGTTCCTGAACTCCCTCAATGTGCTCTCAATTTAAACTGATGAAATTAATAGCAGTGTTGATGGGTTAAAAAGAAGATTCCATCTACTGGTAAACAGGAAATTAAGGTTTAACAGGATTGCTGAGACAGAAGTCCACCTGGAAGCGAGGCAAGTGGCATAGAAGATGTGCAATTTAGTGTTCTGCTAATAAGGTTTGCTTTCATTTTTGTCCACACATAAAATTTGCAGCACAGAATCAGCCCATTCAGCCAAAAGGCTCACTCCAGTGATTATGCTCGAGACGAGCTTTTTCACAACCCTCTTCACTTCAGTTCATCAGCATATCCTTCTAATCCTTTCTCTAGCGTAGTTTATCTAGCTCCCCTTTCTATGTGTCTTTGTTATTTGCTTCAAACTCTCCTGTGGTAGCAAGTTCCACATTCTCTAAAGATATTTCTCCTGAATTCTCTGTTGGATTTAATTGTGACTACCTTGCATATTTGGCCCCTAATTCTGGTCTTGCCCCTACACAAGTGGAACATTTACGCTATTAATATCTTTATAATTTTAAAGACCTATTTATTAGGTCAGTCCTCAACATCTGCTTTCCACAGAAAACAATAACAGCTTGGTCTATTTTTTCCCCATCGTTATAATTCATTAGTGTCATCCTTGTACATTTTTTTTGCACTTTCACCACTCTTCTGTATCCTTTTTGTGAAATAGAAACCACAAATGTGCACAGTATCTGGAGCATAATTTAACATTCATAACATTCCTAATCCGAAGGTGCTGGGGTACAATTCTGTGGCCCTTGCCCATTCTTCATTTCTGAATATGTAATGCAATTGCGCATATAGTTTGTGTCCAGAGTGAGGGCTGGAGATTCACTGACATCCTGACACTTTCTAACATAGATCACTGGATAACAATCAGAAGCAAAATGCCTTATTCAAATTTCTCCTCCTTAGCCACTCCCCAACCAAGATGTCTACTTGCTACAGATCAGGAATCAAACCTGAAGCCTTCCTGGTCTACGGTACTCAATAAAACAAATTATTCTTCTGTGTTTATCAGTCACTGTAGACAGTGAGATTACAAAAGCATGATGCTCACTATTCCTGGCAGGACTCCTAGCTGTTTTTTGTTTAATTACGAATTAAGGTACAAATTACATAGATGATAACAGTTAGCAAAAGTTTAGCAAAAGGTCCCAACAACAACCCATAATGACATCTAATAACCATTTTATAGTTGACACTGTTTCCCACTGATCTCTCCAACATTGGAGGAGCACTATAAGAAATTACATCATTCCCAAAAGATCTGATTTACTGCAAGCCCAAAATGTTAAATTAAGGACATTGATGATGATAGCTGATAAAGACTATGCTTACAATAAAAACAAATAGCTGCACAATGCAATTTCTAAAACCTGCTAATCCCTGACCTGTTGTGTGGAGCTACTGCCAAAACAAAAATCTAAATGTACAATGTAATTCAGCTTAATTGAGCAACCTTTCTGAATCACTTGGGGTGGTCTGTAGAAGTCTTTACTGAGGGGTTAGACGGTTGGGATATACTTCCGCTGAAAAGTATGCTTGTTTCTGATGTTTTCAACAGACATAAACAATGATAATATCAGTAACAAATAAATTTTCTGTTAAGCAGAACTGAAGAAATGGGTTCACCTTGGAGACTTCTATTTACTACATAGCTAAGTGATTTTGTATTTTCTCCCTGCTGTTCACGGTATTTTTGCACCCCAGCTACAAGGATGGGCTTCCAATTTTAGCCGGAATCCCTGTTAAAGCTGGTCTGGAACTTTCAAACAATGGGCTAGGGGAGTGATTATATTAATGGTGTAGAGTAAATCACCTGCTGCTTTTTACCTCTACCAAGGGAAGAAACACAAATATTTGAACTGTCGACAGAATTGAGGGATATGGGGATAGGGCTGAAAGGTGGATTTGAGGATGAGTTCAACCATGATCATATTAAACTGCACAGCCAACTCAAGGAATCTATGGCCTTCTCTTCTTTTTCTTTCTATTTTCGTATGAATGTGGCACATCATTGTGACTTGCAATGTCAGATTTTAACATACTAAACTATCCGAGCAGTCAATCAGATGTTGATTTAAATGGTCTTTTGGACGTAGTAGGCTCCAAACTCTTTATCACTGACTATACTTGCATGCACAATCTGGGCTGACACTCCAATGCAGTACTGAAAGGTACTACCATTAGGTTACCTTCCAGATGAAACCATAAGCCAAGACTCCATCAACGTGTGATCATGGATTAAAAAGATTCCAACACACTGCTTGAAGAGAAATAGGGAATTATACTTGTGCCCTGACCAATAATTTATTCAGCACCAAAGAAAGAAACAGACCATGGATCATTATTTTAAATGCCACTTTATGCAACTATGCTCTACTTGACAGTCATATTTGCCGAAATAACAACAATGACTACATTTCAAAGCAAATTAATTGGTAATGAATTAAGTTTTGTTTAAAATTCATTCACAGGATACCGGTGTCACTGGCTAGGCCAGCATTCATTGCCCTTGAGAAGGTGTTAGGTGAAGTGTAGTCTTTAGGGTACTCCCTCCACAATGCTGTTAGAAATGGTGTTCCAGGAAATTGACCCAGGAGCAGAGACCTATTTCCAAGTCAGTACGGCGTTTGACTTGGAGGGGAACTTTCACATGATGATATTCCCATGCATCTGCTGCCCTTGTCCTTCCAGGCGGTCGAGTCTCAGGTTTGTAAGATGTTGTCAAAGGAGCCTGCGTGATCTTGTAATTGGTTCACATTGTTGCCACTGTGTATCAGCAGTCAAGGGATTGAATATTGAATGGGGTGCCAATTAAACAAACTGCTTTGCCTTGGAGTGGTGTCAACTTTCTTTATTGTTGTTGGCCATCTTGAGGCTAAGTTAAGATAAAGTATAGATACATGTTTGATTTTTCTCTCCACTAAAATCAGCTCAAGTTATCTCAATATCCATATAGCAAGTGAAAGAAAAACTTGGATTGACGTATTGATGTTGTAGCTTTAAATTCTTCCTGCAGGGAAGTGGAAGGCCAGCTGTCCACAATATGGTCAAAATTCATGGATCATTCATAGACCCATAACTCATGTCAACTCACTATTCTTCTACTGTGCTGAGCATACTCGATTGTCTGTCAAACAAGACACTGATTCAGTTTGTGACTGCGCAAAGCATAAGCTTGTGAGTATTGCTGGCCTAAAGCTACTATATTATTATTCTGATGGTTGCCACAAAAACCACAAAAGGCTTATACTGACCAGCTGCTCACCCGACAGCACCTCCAGCAAACGAATCAGCATTCTCCCATCCCTCAAGTCTGTATACAGGTCTGTGATTCGAGATGTCACTCTTGCTAAGTGTGAGTTTACCCATTTGGTAAATGTTTTCTTCTGCACTGCTTCACGTTCATCTGCAACAAAGAAGCAAATGCTTACTGTTAACCGCTTAAAAGGATAAAATGTAAGGAAGCACCAGAAGTTAAACAGGAAAAGATATTCTAAATATGTTGCAGTGCTGTCACCATTTGAAAGAGAAACTGCAGGTTAACATTTAGAGTGCCGACCTTGCCTCAGAACTCAATTAGGGAAAGCTCTCAGGTGAAACATTACCCACCTTTGCTGTTTCAAATGCTGGTATTTTAAGTTTTTAACTCTAGATTTTTGGCACTCAGCTTTACTTTCTCTCTCATCTCCATTTTCAAAATAATAAACCGAAAGGAGGAAAAACAATGCAGAATCATACAAGAGCTGATTGTCTAATTGATAACACTTTGCTCTGCCAATGTAGAAGTCACATGACACCAGGTTATAGTCCAACGGGTTTATTTGAAATCACAAAATTTTACAGTGCTGCACCTGACGAAGGAGCAGCGCTCCAAAAGTTTGTGATTTCAAATAAACCTGTTGGACTGTAACCTGGTATCATGTGACTTCTGACCCTGTTCACCCCAGTCCAACACCAGCACCTCCACATCAATTAGACAGTATTTAAGAGACCTCAATGTTCCAAGATTGATGAGAAACCAGATGTGGCAAAACAGACTTTTTAGTTTTAAATAATGAGCAGCATTAAACTAAAACTTGAACCCTGGGCTTTCTGTTACCATAGTAAATAATGCCAATTAGCAACAAGACAAACCATACAGTTGGTTATGAGTAAATATTCTGCTAGAATTGAAATTATGGCTGGAAGAGAATTTCCACAATGCAAGCTCAATCTAATTTGTGTGTCACTGAATGATTCATTTAATATACTGTACAATGTGAACAATAAGAATTGGAAGAAAATAAACACAACGATATATTATACACAGCAGCAAATAGAACAGGTAGTGCTGTATTACAGGTGGTAACAGAACTGATTATACAGAATCACAGATTGGTCTCTTTTGTGTGGTAACTATTTGCCGATCATATTCATGACAACTCTGCAACAGCAACTTGATTAGTTCCACTTCAGGTTATGTAAATCTTATCACTTTGGGACCTTATTTTTTCTTTTATTCATGAGATGTGGGCATATATAGATAGGGGTTGCATTCACTGTCAATCCCTAATTGCCCTGAGAATTGCTCTTGTGCGCAGTCCACATGATATACACACACCCACTAGTGCTATTAGAGAGGGAGTTCTAAGATTTTAAGCATCGACTGTGAAGGAAGTGATATATTTCCAAGTCTGTATGGTGTGGGGCTTTGGGGGTACCTCGCAGGTGGTGGCGCTCCCATGCATTAGCTACCCTTGTGCTTCCAGGTGGTAGAAGCTGACCTTCCAACTTCTGACCCTGCGACTGTAGCCACAGTTTTTATATGGATTGTCCAGTTCAGTTTCTGGTCAACTATAACGCCTAGGATGCTGGCATGTGTGCTGATACTGCTACCTTCCACGTATCAGTCCAAACCCAAATGTTGCTAAATTTGGACTTTACCAAATTCCTTGTAGAAAACTTCAATTGAAATTGCCTCCATCATGCTCTCACGTAATACATTCCAAATGTTAACTACTCGCTGCGTTTTAAAAAATCTTAAATTTGCCTTTTGTTCATTTATTAATCACCTTACAATGGTGCCCTCTGATTTTCAGTAAATACAAACAATTTATCAACTCTAGTCAGAACCTTCAATCAAATACCCTCTCAATTTTTGCTTCTCTTCTCTAAGGAAAATAGCCCCAGTTTTTCCAATCCATCCTTATCCCCAGCACCATTCTCATAACGCTTTTCTGCAATCTCTCCAAAGACTTCACATCCTTCCTGAAGTTGCAGTTTCCAGAATTGGACACAATAGCACAGCTGAAACCAAAACAGTGTTTTAATCAAGTTTCAGCATAACTTCCTTGGCGTGCAATACAGAGTGAATAACCATGATGCCTTTTACGTTGGCACCAGAGTTCTGTATAGTTAAAGAAAAGACTATTACTCTGTAGAAATTCTGTACAATATGAATGAATGGAAAGAGATTTGGCCCATTGAGGATGAATGGGAAAGGGTTGATTCATTGCGAGTCTACACTTTTATCTTTACAGCCTCTAGTCACCGTGAGCCAATACTCTGGAGACATTGGTTCAAATCCACCGTGCCAACTGCTGGAACTTAGATGTTGAAAGCTAATCTCAGTAATGGTGACCATTACAATTAACATCAATTCTTTAAAAAAGCCACTTGGTTTATTAGTCCTTGAGGGAAAGAAATGTTTTGGCATTAGCCAGTCTGGCCTATATGTGACTCCAGACCTTAAGCAGTGTGGTTGACTCTTAACTGCTGTCTGAAATTATGTGGTAAACTGCTGTTCCAGGTTGATTAGTGACAAGCAACAAACGCTGTCCTTGCAGATGACCACCACACCCCAACCACAGAACATTTAAAAAATGTAGTACACTTTGGCCTTGGAGCAGGGTTATACCGGAGAGCTGCCAGCAACAACATGGCTCTAATCTAAATGGGGCAGCGACATCTTTCAGAAAGTCAATTAGTCATACAAACCATTTCAAATTAACAACCAAGTATGTGTGCTTTTCAGCAGAGCTGCCTCACAACATTCCAACTTTTAATGGTTCTCTGACGTTGGTGTACACTGTAGGTTAATGATTTTGAGCTGCTATTTAGTACTCATGTGCAGTTTTATTACATGTGACAAAATATAATCAAACCATTGTTGTTGCAAATATATACTGAGCTTTACTCTCGACAGCATCATCAGACTTTGGCTCAAACTCAAAGAAACAAAAAATTGATCATAGTAGAAATTACTTCTTTTCACTATGATGTACTTCTTGAACTCTTCCCTAGCTCTTGCTGCCGTATAGCCAACTGACGTGGGTGCAATACTGGCCTCCAAAGTTGACTATTTTCTTATTTCACTCACAAATATAACATTTCCTGAGACACCCCAACTAACCAAACTTCTCCATTAAAATAAAACCTGTTTCCCATTATATTGTTTGTGCGAACTTGTTGTTTGTGATAATTGGCTGCTACTTTTCAAAATGAACAGAACTGAAGCTGTAAAGCACTTTGGCATATCCTGAGATTGAGTGGGGTGCTAGTTAAAAGCCACTTCTGTCCTTACGGAGATGTGCTGGACCGAAGGGATTGCCCTTCACATTACGAATTATTATTGAGATTATCCACAGATGATTTAACTCTGGTGAAGGGATTCTATGATTCAACCCAAACCTAAAATCCAATACTTTCCAACAGCAGCCACTGGCTGACACTGATTTTCCCCATGCTGATAGTGGTGTTAAAGTCAACTAAATTACCTCAGCAGCCATACCAATTTAGATCAAATTACCGATTATATGTTTCAAGCCTGACACCTTTCAGCTTTGCTGTATGTCAAAGTGCCATAATGCAGATATTGTCTGAAACATCAGAAAGGCAACGAAAGTGCAGTGCCTTTCACAACCTCAGGGCATCTCAATACAATCTACCACCAATTCACGGCTTTTGAAAGACGGTGCACTGTTATGGAGGAGGTGAGTACTGTGGTCAATTTATGGACAGCAAGATTTCATAATCAGCAATGAGACTGTTTGATTCAATGATGCTGGCCAAGCAATAAATATTGGCCGGAACGCTGGCAGAACTCTTCTATTCTTCAAGTCAGGCACTGGATCTTTTATATCTACCTGAGAGGGCCTTGGTTTAACAGTTAGACTGCAATGGTTCAAGAAGGCAGCTCACCACCACCTTCTTTAGGGAAACTAAGGACCGGCAATAAATGCTGGCCCAGCCAGTGATGTTCATTTCCCACCGGTGAATCAAAAAAACCTCATCTCAATGGCAGTATGCCAAAATGTGCTACATCCCATTGCACTATAATTAGAGTGCCAGCCTGCATTGTGAGCTCAGGTCTCTGGAGAGGAAATTAAATCCATTACCTTCTGGCTCAGGTGAAACTATTATACACTGAACCACAGCTGATAATCCAGAGGACTGAAGAAAAAGGTCTCCTGACTTTTCCTCCAGGCTATCTGGTTTCCAGGGGAGGTAAATGTTTTGGACAACAAAAGGTCTAACCCATATCACCCCATTCAGCTCTTGAAGTAGTTTCCGAGATGGACTAACATCACAGAGGCACAATACTTTTTGTACTGACTTAACAACAAGCTTTGTAACTAAACAGTATAAATTTAACTGCTTGACAAATGGTGATAATCTGCAACATACTGTCCAGAACAGATATGCAAAACGAATGCTGCTTATGCTAATTCCACTACTCGCAAGCTTTTTAAGAGGTTTAACTTTGATCTTTATTTCTTTGTGATATGGGCTTTGATGAGAAGGTTGGCTGTTGAAACAGTTGATATTTATTTTTTTACAATTAAGTAGCCATTCCCGTGCTGAATTTAGAGTTTGCTCCAGCCAAGTGCCCTGTAGATAGCATCACTCTTTAAGGCCGGGCCCTGGGAGTACCCACATAAACACCACTCTGATAACATTACAAAGTGCTGTGATTTCCACTGGAGAAACAATCCAGGTGGGACACAAGGAAAATGTTTACAGCGTCAGAATTTGCTGCACAAATTGTAATTTTTTTCAAATTGTTCCTGAGCGCAATAACTCCATATACTTAACAGGCAGGGATGCTATAGTATCTCACCTAAGTGAACCTGGGTCATGTTTAAGCCCAACACAGTGAATGCTGGCAGGCATTTCATCATGACTGAACCCAAACCCGCCACTGTCTAATATCCACATTTTCCAGATGGGGATAAGTCCAAGCGGTCCTCTGGGTAGTTGATTTTCCCTTTCTCAGTTGAAGGGAGTTGAACTTGACTGAAGTGCCACAAGTGCTGTCTCATCTGAGCATCTATCTCAGCGCAGGATTAGAGAGGACGTTAGGTTCTTGTTTTCCGTATGACTCAATTTCAAAAATATGTAATGCATTTTTCCAATTGCATGGGGTGC